AGTGTTTGAGAGATTAAGTGAATCAGTATTTTGATAAATGTAAGACTAAATAGGTCATACTGAATTTGAATTAACCAAGGCTGTAACCTCTAAGGCTCCTCCCATCACGTCGAATAGTGTTACATGCATCCAGAGATGCCTTCTCCAAGGCTGCCACCTAGCCTGCGCCTACTCTGCAACCCATGCCACCTCTTATTCGCCAATAGGGATGACGACACCTTTCATTTTTGTACTCTTTCTCCAAGTCCTGTGGCGCCTCCATTCATGTCCAATCGTGTTACATGCATTCAGAGATCCTTCCTCAAGGCTGCCACCTAGCCTGCGCCTACTCTGCACCTACATTGTAACCTCTAAGGCTCCTCCCATCACATCCAATAGTGTTACATGCATCCAGAGATGCCTTCTCCAAGGCTGTCACCTAACCTGCGCCTACTCTACAACCCATGCCACCTCTTATTCGCCAATGAGGATGGTGACACCTTTCATTTTTGTACTTTTCCGCCAAGTCCAATGGCGCCTCCATTCATGTCCAATCGTGTTACATGCATTCAGAGATGCCTTCCCCAAGGCTGCCACCTAGCCTGCGCCTACTCTGCACCTACACTGTAACCTCTAAGGCTCCTCCCATCATGTCCAATAATGTTACATACATCCAGAGATGCCTTCTCCAAGGCTGTCACCTAGCCTGTGCCTACTCTGTAACCCATGCCACCTCTTATTTGCTAACAGGGATGGTGTCACCTTTCATTTTTGTACAGTTTCGCCAAGTCCAATGGCCCCTACCTTCACGTCCAATCGTGTTACATGTATACAGAGATGCCTTCTCTAAGGCTGCCACGTAGCCTGCACCTACACTGCAAGAGTGACATTTATTATGCACGCATGCACCCACCTACCATCTCACTTACTCTATGAAATTTTTTTGCCTATAAATACAGAGCATAACATACTTCTCTCGCACCCACAATCGTCTCACTCTCTGCTACAAACTCTTTCATAATCTCTTATAATTTCAAACTCTTTCATAATTTCAAGCATTTTCAACAATGGCTCTTCTCATATTGGGCGATTCTCACAGAGGCACAAGGGACAACATTGCAGTATTTGTAAGTTTCTTTTATAATTATACATTTTTCATACTTCTGGTAATGCTTTGTTCATCTTACTTACTCTTACACCTTTTACATTATTAACTTAGGATACCAAAAGATTCAGAATCCGGTCACACAACTACCTTGCTCCCTACCCATTGATCATACCATATCTGGAATACGCATGTTTCAGACACGTTATAAAGATCTCCAACTGCACAATTGATTCAAAGTTCATACTTGCAATATTGAAAAGGTGGAGACCAGAGATCCATACATTTCACCTACCAATAGGTGAATGTACCGTCACGCTAGAGGACGTGTACATGTTATTGGGTCTCCTTGTCGATGGTAAGGCCGTTAATGGGTCGGTTCAACAACCCAATTCTCTGTGTGAAGAATTGTTGGGCAGGGATATGGTTGAAGGTGGTGGTGCGAGAGGTCAGAGTATACTACTAACTGAGCTAAAAAATCATTATGCGACTCTGGAATTAAATGAAAATTCCTCCGAGGTAGCAAAGGTAATAAAAGCTAGAACTTATATAATGATACTATTTGGAACCTTTTTATTTCTCGAAAGTACGGGAAATAGTGTAAATTTTATGTATTTAAATTTACTTAGAGACTTCGAAAAAACTAGAAAGTATAGTTGGGGTTCTGCTATTTTAGCTCACCTATACAGTTCCTTGTGTAAAAATGCAATCAAGGAAAAATGTACATTTTATGGCTGCGCTTTTTTACTTCAAGCCTCGGGTTGGTGGAGGATGGAGTCCCTAAACCCCGTCAACAACAACACATTCGTTTTCCCGTACGCAACAAAGTAACTCATCAAGTTATATCAATTATTACTATTCATCTCTTCACCAAATTTATGATAAAAATAAAATATTTTTCATTTCCTTTAAGTATTGCGTGAGGGGTATGAATTATGGAAAGAATTCAAGATTCAATGTCGCACTATACCGCAATCTATTGGATCACCTTGGCCCGGATGATGTACGTCGTACCTTTCAACTTTTCTACTTTTAAATTATTTATATATTACGTTTTCATTAATCTGATTTAATTTTATATGCAGTTTGTCTGGAGACCATATTTTGGTTTGGGCCATGAATCAAACCTCGAGGATGCAGCAATTTAGAGTGCCAAGACTGCAATCATCGGTTCAATGTTGTGGAGATGCACCACAACGACCGTATGAAAATGCAGTTTGGAATGCATCAAGAGATACCCAGCGATTCAACTTGTTTGTACCCGTGGCATCTCAAAAGGGTCGACGCCCAATGAGGTCTTACCAACTAGAAAGACTTTGCTCCAGAATGGTGTAAGATGTGGCAGAGGCGTCACCGACATGTCTTGCAATTCCCGGTTTTCCTCAATCATGGTAATTTGTGACACACGAATCAGTATTTATCTTGGTACAGATCGATTAGTACCCCTGAAATACACGTGTCTCATCCAAGGTATTTGGTTGACCCACGAACACAATGGGCATAACCCTCATTTCCCCAACAACAAACCCAACACACATCAACCTCCAACCAATCCCCCAGACAAAACAGAACCACAAACACCCAACCACAGTCACCACCACAATACAATTACACCCACATGCCCCACAACCAACCACAATCACCACCTCAGTACCAATACCCCCATATGCTTCACACCCAACCGCAATTTCAATCACAATACCAACACACCCGCATACCCCACACACAAATTCAGTCTTCTGCATATCCCAATATAGGCCCCTCAACATCCAACCTTAGCCCTGATCTGGGAATGTCGGAAGATTATGAACCAACCGACCTAACTTACCATCAACCACAATATCATCAAACCACCAAACATCCTCAATACCAAACACCCCAAGATCCATTTTCTTTCTACCCCCCGTACTGAGACGACCAGTGCTACAGACCAACCATGGAACCCCACCCACCGCCAACACGACCAAAATTTAAGGGTATGGGTAACCGACTGTACCAAAGCGGATCTTCTAGATATGGAGATCTGAATGATTTCATGAATCCGGAACGCATTGACTTCGTTGGGCCGTCGACCTTGCCACAGCAGGAAACGCGACGAAACCCAACACGGGAAAGGCGAGGACGGGGATGCGGAACCGGGGGTCATTACCGGATTCCGGGGGACCACTGATTAATCTGTTTTTTTACGTAATACTTATGTTTGTAATCATATTTTGTAAATAAAAAGTCAATTTTGTTGATCCTATATCGAATACGTAACGCACCGCATTGAAAAAAAAAACGTGAAAATTATCCTAGAAAATGCACTAAGGCGCTATCTCACTTGGCTTAGGACAAGCCCTAAGCACCTAGGCGCCAAGTGAGATGGCGCCTCCCCTTAAAAAGTAGGTGTAGGCGGCAAGTGAGATGGCTCCTCCTTTGGGGAGTCATCTGAAACATGGTTATTTGCGATTTTTTTTTTAAAACATGGTTATTTCAAAAAAAAAATTCCAGATTTGGATCCCTCCGGTGTTTTATCAGCAGTTTTATTTAATTATTTATCTATTTCTTTTCTCTTATTTCAAAATAATATTTTTAAAGTTAAATAAGTTTTTGATCATTCTAAATATTTTAAATTTTGTTTTTAGTTTTTTTAAAATTTTCTTTTAAAGAATGGTCTTTATAAAAAATTAAATTTTAATTTTTGGTCCTTCCTGCAATTTAACGATGATTTTTATAATTTAACGACAGCTTTAACGATGATTTTTATTTAGCGACGAAATTAAAGATCAATTTAATTCCGATTTTGTCAAGAAAGACCAAAAATTAAAATTTAATTTTTTTAAAAAATTTAAAAAAATTAAAAACAAAATTAAAAATATTTAAATGGACCAAAAATTTATTTAACTAAAAAATAATTTTTATCAATTCTTAACTACTAGATGAAGTATAAGAGGGATGGTAGAAGAGAAAGACAGAAGATTGATCTATTACCGTAATCACTTTATAAGTATTTTGACAATTCAATATTGCAGGTCATTACTCTTGCACGAGACAATATCCACATTGCTACTGATGTTTTTTTTTATAAGCAAAATAATATATTAAAAGAAGTATAAGGGTTTCTCAACCCAATACAAAAGAGAGAAAGGATCAAATAGGCAAAACAAACATTAGCCTACAACCACATATTTAATACTCAATAGAGGGTTGTCAAGTCAATATAACCGGCTAGAATTAATAGAACAATTACCACTAGCCCCAACCAACCCCAAGAATGAAGCTTAACCAAAAAAAATTAGCTCCTTTTCATTGAGCAAAATACCTTAAAAAAGAATAGCATTTCCAGCTAACCATAAATTTCAAACAACACAAAACCAAAATAGCATTCTAAACTCTTTTGATATTTTTGGCAAAATATCTTTTTTGATTTCGTATGTTAACGTTAAGATTTATATTGGTCCGTTAACTCTTCAAAACGTTTTATTTTAGTCATTTTTATCTAATTAGCGACGGAAAAATTTAGATATCAGTCGCTAAATTCGTCGTTAATTAGACCAAAAAAACTAAATTAAAGTGTTTTGAAGAGTTGATGGACCAATATAAACCTTTTGTATGTTAAGGGACCAAAAAGAACCTTGACGTTAACATACGTATCAAAAAGAATATTTTGTCGATATTTTTCCTACATGCAAAATTGAAAAATTGAAACATAATCTAGAATTGACGAAGAAACCGGGAAACCTTCAATTCCCAATCAGACCAGCGCCTGAGTCCGAACACAAGCAGATATCAGGAAGAAAAGAAATAATGAGCAACATTTTCCTCATGATGAAAGCAAAAGAGACAAACCATATCATGGAACCATTGATGACTCTACATCTTTTTAGTTAAGAACAAACATGAAGCCTATTCAAAAGAAGCCTCCACACAAAAACTAAACATTGCTAGGAACCTTGGCTTTCCAAATGGTCTTCAGCGCAAGAGAAATATGAGATGAAATGATAAGCTCAGAGAAGGAATGATGGTGCAATCTAGTGCATGCTGATTTTACCAAGAAAACTTTGAGATCATCGCGCCAAACAAAAGTTTCATGAATCTCAAGGATGGGAGCAGTCTCATCTAAAATACAAGAGATGTCACTTAATTCGGCATTGGCCAATTCTAAAAGACAGTCAGAATGGAAATTTAAATTCCATAACCAAGTTCCATCAAAGCAATCGCCCAAAGAAGCCACCTTTGCTCTCGATGTAGACATTAGAACTTCTATATAAGTTTAGAAACAAAGTGAAGAGGGTCTTGATCGAGCCAAGAATTCCTCTACAAATTAATTTTTAATCTGGTTCCAAGATTTCAAGAAACAGATTTTTTGGACCAACCTTCAATCTCTTCAATGTTGTACATTGCTAACTTTATATCCTTCCACCATATTGAAGCATTTATGTTACTTGATAACCAATGAGGATCAAGAATCTGACCTTTGATGTCGTTGTATCTGAATGCAAAAATTAAAGGTTAAAAGGAGTTTTTATCATTTAAAATCTTCCAAGCCCCTTTGCTTAGGAGCGCTCTATTAAACATCTCACAATGCAAGATTCCCAAACTTACTATATCCTAGGAATTACAAACAGATGTCCAAGCCAACCAATTGATTATACGTTACATTCTTCCTACTTCCAAAGAAAAGCATGCAGAATCTTGATCAATTCGTTGATAACTACCTTGGAAGCTCTATAAAAAGAGAAGTTGAAGAGAGGCAACAAATTCATAACTGAGTTTAAGAGAACGTCGTGACTACCATTGGAGACAAATTTTCCATTTCTAGAATTGATCCTGCTACGAAGCTTCAAAAGAATCAGCTCCCAATTGGCTTTTCTCTGGGGGTTTTCACTATTGGACTTGAAACTTCATACACAAGAAGGGGTAAATTGCATGGTTTAGAAAAAATTGTTTTTGAAAAACTTTAGGAATTAAAATTAGAGTTTAAAAACATTATAGATAATTATCAGCGAAAAAATAATTTACAAAAAATAAATAGCAAAAAGGTAAAGATTTAATGGAAAATAAGAACACCATAAATTATAGAGGTTTAGTAAAAAATAAAACGGCCTACTCATCTCCCCAAATATGGTCTTGAGAGATTCCACTAAACTTGAGAGCTTTTAATAGGATCTACTCATGAAGTCCCTTGTACAAGGAAAAATGGTTGACCTACAAGTAAACAAGATAAGACTTTGGTATATAGCAGCTTGAGTCTTCTCTTCAACATGGTAGATTGAAGCAGTTAGTCTTCTCTCCAAAAATAAGAATCTTGGAGCGGTTAGTCTTCACTAGGGGTGGAAATAGGCTAGGCTTTAGAAGAACTGAGTCTGGCATACGATAAACTTAAAAGGTCTGAGCCTGGCCTATGGCCTATTCTAGGCTATTTTTGGCCTAATCTGGCTTTTTTAAAAGTCTGACTTAGCCTGAAATACTATTTAAAAGTCTGTTTCTCATTATAGGTCAGCCTATATATGCATATATAGTCCGACCTATTTAGCCTTTTTTATAATATATATGCATATACAAGCCATCTTATTTAGCCTTTTTTCTAATATATATATTTATCCTATCTTTAATATATATAAAAATATAGGCTGACCTATAAGATTTCATAGGCTTTTTTAATAGCTTAAGCCTAACATATTTAATTAAATAGGCTTTTAAAAAAGCAAAAGCCTGACCTTTTTATTAAATAAACTTGGTCTGACCTTAAATAGGCTAGGCTATAAGCCCCTGTAGGCCGACCTGGCCTATTTCCACCTCTAGTCTTCACGCTTCTTAAACCTTGCAAGCTTTTATCATGGATTGAGCTTATGAACCTTAAACCTTGGTTTTACACGGGATAACCAATAACATGTGAAATTTTAATTTCAGAATAATCTAGAACCTTATCCAAGCTTTTATCACAGACTAAGCTTTAATGTAATCTTGGGCTGACCAAGAACCTATGATATTTTAATACGGGCTAATCTCGAACCTAAACTAGGGTTTGATCACACAATCCTCAAACAAAAGCTTTTAATGGTTTTAACTTCTATTTCAAATAAAATTCCCTAAATGGATAATATTCAACCAAGGTATAAAAACAAACCCTTGCTGAATATTATAATTCTATCCTTCTAAAGTTATAACTTATTCTCAATCACAAAAGGACTTTCTCGCATAAGCACATCATCTACGATTTTAGGGAGAGGAAGTAAACAAAATTTTGGAAAGAGTGAGAAAGAGATATAATGTGTGTGTGTGTGTATGTGTGTGTGTATGTGTGTGTGTGTGTGTGAGAGAGAGAGAGAGAGAGAGTTATGTCAAAACAAGATTTTAGATGAAATGAAATGAGGGAAGAGACCTCTATTTATAGCCTAATCAATTTCAAATAAATGTATTTTATGACAATCTAATCAATTGGCACTTGTTTACAATCGATTAAAAGTTTAAACTATAATCAATTATAAGTATAAAAAGGTAGGACAAATATCTAGTCATTGCATACTATTAAGGCATTGTCCTAATCCATTAGACAAAAATGTTAATCAATTAGGTAAGTAAAAAAATTTCTATATTTATTTTGACAGTTCCTAATTCATCTGGCACAACTTCAAGATGTTTTTGAATGTAATTTCTTTGGTAAAAACAATTTGAAAATATATTTTAGTGTGTGTGTGTGTGCTTTAATCGTGCACTTTTATGATAAACTTCTTTTGCTTTGCAATTGTTTCACTCACTAATAAATTAGAAGGTTCCTAAGCACTTCAAGACTTTGCATGATGATTTCTCTTTTGTAGATACTTGCTTGAGTAGCTTGAGATGAGAATTTACTTGCATTCCATTTGATTGCCATCATCAGATCGACAAGTCCATCAAACCCTAATATTTGGGTTTACATATTTGTCTACTTAACCATTTATGCTTGACTTGTCAGAAGACATTAGTTGTCATCATTAAAAGTTGATGTCCTTGTTCAAAGCATATCACCTGCAAAACAAGGTTCCATATTCTCCGCCTTTTTTTATCATGACAAAAAATTTATCACGAGAGGTGGTAAAAGAAAACAACATATATGTGTTTGGAGTAATTAAACTCCCATTGAGTTAAATAGAAAATATACTTTATTCTCCTTGAGAGTATATTTCTCCTCCTTTGTAAAAGTAAAAAAGGTGGTTAAAGCTGCATTGCAAAAAATAAATATGCAGACATGGGCAATTTGGACATTTAGAGAAGCAAACATTCATATTATTACTAAAAAATTCAAATTACAAAGGAGAGATTTGCAGCATTTGAAAGTACATGAAGGGAAAATACTGTAGGTGTTTAGGTATTGGCTTGAATTTTTGGTAAATCTCAAGTGTATGTGTGAATGTCATGACTGATGTCATAACATTCTAGTTCAGTTTGTACTGACTCATTAGGTACCTGTGCAGAAAAATATTGTAATTCAAATACTGATGTTTATAAGTGTGTATCTGAGCATTTTTACAAAATGATCACATTTTGCTAAATCAGTAGACAGGTTTTCTCAGATGTCATAACAGATGTTATGACATCCTGTTCTGAACTAACAGGATTGCAGGATTGGATAAGTCTGAGTTTTTTCAGGAAATAACTCAGTCCTTCCTGAACAGAATCCTGCGTTTTCTGAGGGGTAACTTAGCTCAACCCTAACCTGGTTAATAAAGTCCTGTGACCTGGTCTTTTGGTCAAACGGAATTAACCCTAGGTTTTTGGAAACCCTAACTGAAGTTGCAGCTACTATATATTCAACAGAGCTGCTGTTTTTCAAGGATCCCTGCTGATTGATTAGAAGATCAATTTGTAATCTGTATAGATTTGTTTATTGTACTCCAAGCAATTATCATTGTGATAAGTGCCTTGGAATAGGTTTCTATTTGTAAGGGTTGTGTAGCACTCAAAGCTTTGAAGCAAGAGTGTTTGAATGTTCCTTGACTAAAGCTGTGAAGCAAAGTCAAGTTAGTTGTGTACATCACTCAAAGCTGTGAAGCACGAGTGATTGTGTTGCTTGATTAAAAAGCTGTGAAGCTTAATCAAGTGTGTGTTTTTGAAGAGTGTCTTCATCAATTCTTAAGTCAAATTGGTTTATGTATCACTGCTGTGATTGAGGGGGAGTGAGTAGGAACTCAGGTTTAAGTTGTACTTAGATTAGAATTGCATTGGGTAGGTCTTAAGTGAAGGAGATAAACTGGTTGGTTTATTCCTGAATTAACATCTCTTATAGTGGATTCTCTCCCTGGCTTGGTAGCCCCCAGAGTAGGTGTTGTTGCACACTGAACTGGGTAAACAATTGACTGTGTTCTTTATTGCTTTTGTATTTACTGTCATATAGTAAGTCAGATACGGTGTCATAACATTGAACGTGACATTGAGTATCTGCAGCCAGAATTTCAATTGGCATCAGAGCAGGCACCCTGCCTGTATTACTGGGTGAGATCTAGGGATATCACTTTCTGGCACTATGGACAAAGAAGGAGTTTTTGGAAATAGACCACCCATTCTGGACGGAACCAATTATGACTACTGGAAACCTCGTATGATTGCCTTCCTAAAATCTCTGGACAAAAAGGCTTGGAGAGCTGCTGACAAAGGATGGATTCATCCCACCATAACTGAGATAGATGGGACAATCAGTCTGAAGCCTGAGGAGGATTGGAGTAAAGAAGAAGATGAGTTAGCTCTGGGAAATTCAAAAGCTCTAAATGCCTTGTTCAATGGAATTGACAGAAACATTTTCAGACTAGTACATCAATATGAACTGGCCAAGGATGTTTGGGACACTCTCAAAACTACTCATGAGGGAACTTCCAAAGTAAAAATGTCAAGGCTTCAGATGTTGACCACCAAATTTGAGAATCTAAAAATGATGGAAGATGAAACCATTCATGAGTTTCACATGAACATCTTGGAGATTGCCAACACCTCAGGAGCACTGGGAGAAAAAATGTCAGAAGAAAAACTGGTGAGGAAGATTCTCAGATCCTTGCCTAAAAGATTTGCAATGAAGGTAACTGCCATAGAGGAAGCCCAGGACATTAGCAAGTTGAAAGTGGATGAACTTATTGGGTCTCTTCAGACTTTTGAGATGGGGATCACTGATAATGGTGACAAGAAGAACAAAAGCATAGCACTTGTATCCAACACTGATGTTGAATACAAGGAGGATGAAGAAGAAAACATATCAGAAGCTATTGCCATGCTTGGAAGACA